CGTCAGCTGTAGAAAAAGATCCTCGAGTAGAAAGTAATATTAAATACATTCTAACAACAGCTTATTATACAAAACCTTTTCTACATAAAGATATACATTTTCAAATCTTCTGCAATTATTTGACACCTTTTAAATGACAACTGAATGGGGGAGGGGGGGGGGTTATGGTTAAACGCCATTGCAAGAAAGAAAGGGATTATTCATTTTACCTTTGCTTGTATCTCCATCTTCAGAATCGACCCAATTATGGCGAAGAGGTCGCTGACGATGACCAGCAAGTACCAGCCGTTCAGAAACTCCCTCTGGTCGTCCTCGCACACTTTCCGATTAAAGTTTTCATGGAAGAATCTGGAGAACCTCTTCAAAATAAAACAATGGGAATTTAGTCAATTTAACACACACGCACACGCGCACACACAGAAACACACACACACACACACACACACACACACACACACACACACACAGGATAAAGACGTGTGTAAGTTGATTTCAAAAAGAAAAAAAAGAGGTAGCTGCTTGCATGGTGTTGCTGACCTGCAGTAACCTGACGGCCAGTATGATGGAGCGAGTGCACAGCACGGCTGATGTGAGGCACATCAGAATGACGAAGGCATCAAATACCAGCAGATAGTGTGTGTTCTTCTGAGCTGAAATACACACACACAAAAAGCACAAGTGTGGGTGTGAGAGGGTTTATCACTCAACTCCCTCACACTCACAGTTCTGACACTGATAACACAAGTCTGAATGCAAACGCCTCAGTTACAGGAAACTGCCCAGTCCTGGTACAAGTTTGGAGACAAATCCTTCCACACACTTTAACGACGTGGTGAACAAGCTGCTGCAACACAAAATAAACTGGACAGACACATTGGTCCACAAGAGTTTATTTTTATTTAGTCTGATTCTTTCAAACTTGACAACATTTTGATATTTTTACAAATATTCCAAACATGCATTTGCAGGCTGACCTGTTGTTTTACTCAAAAACAGTTTTCAAAGCCATAACCTGTCTCATTCCTCCCTCATTTGTTACCATTAATTAATTTTTCGGTTAGAGAAGTTCACCTTACCCGTCCCCGATATCTTCCAGTCTCGGCACGCGCTGCTTTCAGCGTCTATGTCCAGGAATAGTTTCACCTTTCCACTGTGACACTGGTTATCGAACGTTATCTATCAAATCAAAGGGATCCAGGTGTTTATATGTGCTTCAATCCAGCTGTGTTTGCTGCTTTTACATGGCGTTAATAAAGCCAAGAAACTTATACCGTAACAAAGAAGGAGTAGCAGTCGGGTAACTCTCGCGAACGCACCGTCTGGAGGTTGATTCCCTTCAACTGGAAGGTTATTTTGATGTCGACAAGTCTGAAAAAGCGGCGAAATGTTTGATTTAAAATGGGGATGTCAGCATGTAATGTAAATATTTTAAACAGCATACCTGTAAAAATCCAGATTAAAAAAGGATGAATTCTCTGCTCTCCACAGGTTTGCAGTATTTGGATCGTGTGACATACAAACTGAAAAAAAACCCATCACATATATGAGGTGTGTAAAAAACACAGACACAGCTTTTGTTTCCCCTCAAAATTAGTTCTTATACTCCAATATGGAATTTCATGACCTGTTTAAATTACCAGTAAATCCCATAATGGTTCTAAAATGTCTGAAATATATAAGAAATGGTATTTTTAAACATGAATCTTTTGTCCCGTTTCTAATAAAAACTCTTCAGGTTTGTCATTAAATATTAAAACTACAGGAGCCCAAAGGGGAAATTTTAACAACACTGAGCTTAATTATCTAAATGGCAAATCTGACACCAACTTCGCCGCGTATAACAGCAAACTGACATGCAAATTTTCCCTCTCACCCGCCTCCAGCTGAGCATCGATGTCATAGATCTCATCTGAAGGCTCCACGCTGCCCCTCCTATAGTACTCTTTACATATGGTGAGGGGCAGCAACTTGCCATTTTCATCCTCTGCGTAACTGATCGGGCCCACGGAGAGCTGGCCCAGCTGACTGTACTGTACACAACAGGGAATTTTAGGAAAATTAAAAAAAAAAAAAAAAAAAACAGAACACACTCCAGGGTGACGAGACAATAAAGAAGCTGAAAACTGGAATATCGCAGTGAAACACGATAAAACAAGAAATTCAAAAAATAAAGCAGTTCCAACTCATGCGATGCTTAAATTACACCAGATATGTTTATATGAGCATTAGATTGGAGCTCCTGATGTGCATATTCTATAATAAAACTCAACACTACATACACTTCATAATGCTACAGTAAAAAAGTCACTGTTACTTGCCTGATCCATGACATAAAACAGACTTTCATAGACGTCGTGCTTTGTGTAGACGGCAACGCTGTAGTCGTCCTCATCGACCCCGCTGTAGCCTTTTAAGAAAAGGTGTTTGAGCGCCATGGTGTTCTCTTCCTTATAGGAAACCACCAGCTGGTTGTTGAGGCCGAACAGGACGAGCTGTGGGGAAAACAAGAAAGGAGAGTTGAACATATACGCGTCTTATTCCTTTTGAGGTGGAAAACACATGTTATGGTAGCTTTACATCTCTGACATACCTCTCAGTCAGTTGGGCCTTTTAAAAAGGAGATTACCCAAAACTGTAGTTGTTATGGACATGGAGTATTGTGCAATCTCCCACAGCTACACATTTACAAGTAGTTTTAAAGTGTTACGTGAAATACTGATGAGGTGCTTTGAAGACGTTTGTGTTGTTTTAGGGCCATGTGCTTCCGAAACAATACAAATTTAGCAGCAAAATAAAGACAAACACAAATATTCCTTTATTCTCCCATTTTAAGCAGGACCCTCAGTGTAAGCATGTATAGACACACTGCTCTTGGCTGCATGCCTTCGATTACAGATTGCAGTTCCAGGAAGCTCCTTCTGAGTGCTGCCTCTTTCCTGGTCTTTCCCAACATACAATAAACCCCAGTGCACATACTTGTGTGGTGACCATGATGATTTTCAGGATCTGGACTCCCATTTTCCAGGGAATGTGTCTTCGGGCTCTGTACTTCTCACAGGGGCTCATGAAATAATACCTCAGGTCATCTCTGAGGTTCTCCTCTTTCATAATGTCGTGAGTTATGACAGAGCTGTAAGACAACAACCATCATGCAGATGACAGAAACAGATCGCAGTGCTGTGGGCTACACGGTTAAAACATGTGGAAATGAACAGATGGTGAGAGGAGTTTCTCTACGAAGGAAGAAGAAGGAAGAAGAAAGCAGCCAGAAGGCTGAAAATGCAGAAGTGAAAGTTCAAAAGAAAGACAGTTATTTTATCAGCTCTTGTTGTTGCGGTGAACCAGACTGGTAATCAATCACACGGAGAGATCCGTGTACGAAGTTCAAGGTTAGCTCAGTAAATGTACTTTCACCATTTCCCCCAATTGTTTGTCAACTATAAACAACACAAATCCAAGTCTCCAAGTTACAAAGTGCAACGTTAAATCCAACCCTGACCACGTCATAAAACTTCCTGATGACTTTCGCGGTTGTTTTTAACGTTGTTACATTTTAACATGCGGCATTTCAGAATGATGAGGTAACAAAACTATATTTGAACGCAACTTATTTAAACATAAAAAGCTTACCTGACCGAATTGCTTCTATCCAGATAGCGAGAAAATAACTCCATTTTTGCAAAGCAAGGTGGGGAAAAGCCAAATGACTGAAGGGAGATTATTAAACGTAAGCCGGACAGCTCCGGCAGAGAGTCAGAGACAACTCTGCTCTGCTGCGCGTGTGCCCCGCGAGACCACGACGCTTTCAGTCAGCCAATCAGGAAATGGGTTTGAGGCGGCACAGGTGCGCAATCTACGAGTGAACGAGTGCTCACGGAAAGGCCCGAAACATAATGTGGTTAAGAAACTAGATTTAAATAGAAAAAACAAAATAATAATGAAACGTTGCTGTGTGTGTGAAAATCAGTGCGTCAGTGTAAAACCTTTGAACTGATTAAAACCTGGAGCAGTTACTGATATAGGAACAAACTCCACAGAAGACATAAGGTACTCCTATATTTCACAGGCAAGAGTCTGTAGGTCAGGTCATCACACATGATACTATAAAGCAGGGATGTCAAACTCATTTTACATTGGACGCAACATACAATTCACCAATCAAACTGCCCTTTCAGTCAATGAAATGAAGTTTAACTACACATTTAACCACTGAGATGTTTCAATGGTACATCTCAGGTTTTCCTCATGATACAGAAACAGTGCTGTAGTACATGAAATAAATATTTCAGCGTGATTCTTTGGGCTCAAAATAGAAGAAATGTGTGAAATTACTGAAAAAACCCTGATAGCTCAGTGCCCAGATGTTCCTGTAATTAAACATGAAAAAGTTGGTTAATTCAGACAAGATGCCATTTTTGTTTCTATGATCAATAGTGAAAAAACAGGGTACTTTGTAATTTAATTGAATTAACTGATATAGTATTAATAGCCACGGGGGAAGTCTTTATCAGAAGGAGAAGCTATAAAACCTAAATTAACAAATATTTTAAACTCCAAATTTTTATGCCATCCTTCACATTTTCCCAAAGCCATCTAGTGGCCGGAACAGTGTCTTTGCCAGGCCTTATGTTTGACATCCAAGTCTCACAGATGCATGCAGCATATCCTAAGAGGTCGAAGGAAGACGGGTCCTATGTTAAACAGAAACCAGCACATTCCTGATACGATCTGCTGCTGCTTGGCGTCCACCTAAGATGACAGCTACAGTGTGTTAAATGTGAAACGCAGGGACCGTGTTTAATTTCTGTTCCAAAACCTCACGTTGGACAAAGAAACATGACGGATGTGACAAAACTTTATTTGTCCACTGATGAACACAGAGCAACAAAGTCAACTTCCTGACATCAAATATGACTTCCACAGATCTGAGCTGGAACGCCTGTGAGCTCCTGAAGCTGCTTGCATCCAGCAGACAGGAGGGAAAACTGTAAATCATCGTCCTCAAATGACAAAAATGAAATGATGACGTGGAGATACAGTCGATGACATGCACTGGATTTCAGCCACTTCATTGCTTTTTATACTGAGCGAGCTCCATCAAGCTCACTATGGTTAAAATCCACTGTTCTTGCACAGATGTCCATGTTGTGGTAGCAACAGAAATCCAGCATATATAAAGCAGAAAGTCAAGTCAAGTCATCTTTATTCATATAGCACATTTAAAAGACATCAAGTGTCGGCCAAAGTGCTGAACAGAGGAATATGATAAAAAAGAATTAAAACAGATAAGATGAAAACAGAAACATTGTGACATCCATACATTTTTGTAAAAAAATAAAAAATAAAATAAAATGATAATAATAATAATATGTACACATTCACACACAAGTACACATATGTGAACATAAAATACATGTATACGTGTCTACACATGCAAACATCATCCAACGAGATAAAAGACCAGAGAAGCTGAAACAGAATAAAGGTGGGAGATCTGAAAGCCTTGGAACATAGGGAGGTCTTCAGATTCGATTTGAAGACTTCCAAGGATGAAGAGGATTTTATAAAAGAGGGAAGACTGTTCCAGAGTCTCGGCAATGGAAAAAGCCCTGTCACCTGTAGATTTGAACTGGGAGCGTGAAACTAATAGAGGCATCTGACTGGAGGAGCACAGAGTTCGAGTGGGTAGGTGCAAGCTAAGAAACGAACAGTAATGATAATGTAGAGCCAATAATGCATTAAAGAAACTAAGACGAGATCAGCAGGTATCAAAACAAACAAAAACAAAGAAAAAAA